GGATTTTCTCTATCAAACTTGGTTCATTTCGTAAAAAAATCGGTACACAATGAGAACAAACATCATAAGTTTTCTAAGCCGTTTAATAAACTCGCAGATMGTGTTTTATCGGGTCTAAAACCACTCGGCTGCGCCTCGTGTTTTATACCCGATAAAACACTCCTGCTTGTTTATTAAACATTACTTAAATCATTTACCTTCAAGTGTTTCATCAAATAAAATACTTTATACGGAAGTGTCCGGTTTTAGCCAGAACAGAGATTTATTTAAGCCATCTATTTAAGTTTATGACTTGCCCTATTCAACGTACATTTACAAGCAACCGCATTGTGTGACCACTATTTCCTTGGTTTGTCGATCAAACAGACTCAGACCACCATCTGTGGCCTAAAAGTTCCACGATTGTGGCTATTAATTGTTATGAAACAACCGCCGAAATCTCGACGGGACTTTACCAAAACCCGGAGGCTGCTGGGGAGGAGGGAGCAAAATCAACATTAGAGGCCTTTAGCAAGACGTTCTTGCTATATACAATTATATTATTATATTACATATTTATCATTTATATTTTATATATTATTATATTATATATACTATATATAATTTGTCACTGGAAGAGCCGCCATATTGTATTTATCTTAATGCTCAGTCTTTCTCCTTGTTTGTGGGCGTGATTCTGGGCCTGATCTCCTAAAGCGGTTAGTGCTTAGTGTTAAACCTGATGCTAATATTTTTTAAATGTTGCTTACTCAACCCCTAGAAGTTAAGGGGGGACTAAACTGGAGTATTGCCACCTTTTTTGGCTAAGAGAATTTGATACTTTAATTACATGTCTCATTAGAAACAAGGCTAACGTCAAGGGCGGATCCAGGGTTTTTTTGAAGGGGGGGTCTCAGGGGAAAATTTTGTGGGCAAAGGAATCCCAGTCGCATTTTTATCACAGGAAGCCCATTTGACCTCAGGAATGAAAGGGGGGTCGCGACCCCCCCGACCCTCCCCCTGGATCCGCCCTTGAACGTTAACTACCTCGACACCTATGTATGCAAATTGCATGTAACGGCATAAATAGTAATTAATCCGATCCTAACTCATAATTGGTGCTTTTGTGTTGCAAAGAATAGTTACGAAATAAATGTAAATCCTTGCGATTACGACTTAGTGATTTCGCTCGTGCAAATGTGTGAAAATTTTTGCTGTCTCACTGGCTAACTTGTAAAAAACTGAATTGGTTGACCACGGTACGACAAGTCGAGCTGTATCGTCTTAAACTTTTAGAACATTATTTTAAAACAATTTTTTAATTTCAAAAAACGGAAAATCAACAGTTAGATGCCTGTCGTTTTAAAATTAACATTCCCATCAAATGGAGCAGAGAAAGGCAACACTAAAGCACTTCAAATCCATCGCAAAACAAAGCTCTAAGAAACCACACAAAACGAAACTACAATGATAAAGGAAAGATCTAGAATCATGGAAAAAATAGCTCAAGCACAGTTACAAAGCAAAGTTTTCTATAATAAGATTCGGACAAAGCCCTTAATTAGAAAAACATTTGGAAACCATTGACGATCTTGAACGAAAACACACACTGAAAGAAAGCTATGCTCCCTTGAAACAATCATATTAAACAGGAAATATAAAGTTAGAGAAAAACCCTAGTTACTTAAAGAATTTTTCTTCTACTTTCTGTAAAAACTAATCAACAACTATATCATGCCTATATCTCGGATCCTCTAAATCCAGAAAGGAGTCTAAATATAAAAAACACTCCAACCTTTTAAATAACATTATCAAAATTAGAATAAGAGAATACCTAATATCACAATTTGAAGCCAATAAAACTAACTTGAAAATTACATGCAAACTAATAGGAAGAATTATAAAAAGGAAAAGAAAGTCTCAAATAACATCATCTTTAACAACAACAAATACACTGATAAAGAGGACGTAGCTAATCAAATAAATATCTATTTCAGTGAAATTGGAAATGATCTAGCTAGCAAAATAGATGCTACAGTAGACAATGTTACTAAACACATTTACAAATCACCTACTTCAAGTTTTCTCCTAAAACCAGTCTCACCAACTGAAGTTAAACAAAGACTTGAAGGCAACTGTAGATATGAAATCACGGTTCTGCGCCACGGGCCCCGTCAAGCTGCCACGGGCAAGTATGGGGAGGGGTGGTATGCCTCATGTTTATTTTTAGCCGGAGCAATCTTTAGGAGGGGGAGGGGATGTTCAGGAAAACCTTGAGTCATATCTGTTTTTGATTGGTATATTGAATCACAGCAGCGACGATGTCATGTTGTTTTCCCGATAGGAAAATTTGCTGACTTTTTTTATTTTTTAAATCAATAAGCTACCCAACATTGTTATGACTATATTGTTAATGGATGTACCGCAACTATTCCCATTCGGTCACGCATATCATTCGGTTGGAAACAGGTGCTGCAGTTAGCTGTCTAATTTTATTTATTTTTGTTGACTCATCAAAAGCAAACAGCAGATGACTTGCCCGAGGAACGACAACAAAGATGCTTTCGAACAATTTTTTTTATTTCGGGGGTTCGATTCCCATCCTAGTACCCTGATTTTTTTCTTAGCGTTCTTATCTTCATTTATTTATTTCATGTGTATCAGTATGTACATCTTTTATTCAGAAAAATAGAAATAACTTAAGACTTCTTTTATCATATAACGAAGCACGATGTTTTGATTGTCAGTAGATAGTGTTCAATACAAACACCTGCAGCAAACCTAATCATGCACCGAATTTATCGTTTCCAACTAGATCAAAGAGTAACTAAATCTTCTATTGTTTTGTCTATTGAGGTGCCGGTATAATTTGACAAGTTTTAGCAAAGGCAACCCAAGCTCACCACATTTACAAGAGAATGTATCGGGATTTAGAATATGCCTTTTTGTATTCGAAAAAACGTGAATAAAAGCTTGTCGACTTATTGTGTCATTTTGTTTATTTTGAATTCCTGTATGCAGTTCCAGCAAATTTTGAAGGGTGTTTAAGAAAAAATTTCCAACACTTAGAAATAATGACAACGGGTACTCGGGAAGCTGCAGAGCCAAATTCGCTGTCACTGGTGTCCACTTCGAACCGTTTTTTTCAGTAAATACGAATCCGATGTGGAATTTGCTTTACATGAGTACGAAGGAATAGTTTACCAATACACTTGTGTGCTTTAATTGGATCCTAGCTGTAGCTACGGACTAGCAATTACTTCATCCCTTAAACTTTAAAAAGTTACTCCAGCGAACGCTAGGAAATCCGTGATCAAGGCTGTTTGCTTAAATTTTAAGGCCAAAGGACTGCAAGCCATACAAAATTTCACCACTCGGGGAGTGGGGTAAACAGAATACGGCGCATTATGCTACCTCCCGGAGCTGAAAATTCTTTGCTAATCAAAAGCTAACCTTCCTTGATTACACTCCAGTTCGTCTTCAGTTTCCAATTCAGTAAAAACCCACGAGTAAGGACCTGAAAATTAAGAACCTGATAGCTTCAAATTTGTCATTTATACCCCCTTTAAACATTTAGCCTAGAAAATGAAAACAGGCTCTTATTTTCAAAAATCATCATTATTATTGTTTGCCGGATGCAGAGAGGGGTAAGAATCCTGTTTGGAAAAAAAGGAGCTTGCCATTGCTGTGCAGATAAATTAATTAATTAATGTTAGTGTAAAGTGAAGAAAGGTTGATATTAATCGCATTGCAATATGAAAAAAACTGTACAGGGTGTTGTTGATGGGGAGGGTTGGGGTTGATTGAAAAATAAGCTGATTACCTCTACCGTTACCTATTCTTTGAATTACATATGCACTTATTTCAAAAAACGGTATGGGAGAAGAATACCAAATAGATGATAGTCGAAAGGTGATAGCACGACCGAAAGGAATTGTGGGAAAACGTTTCTTAGTCTTTATGAAAACAGTTTGCTGCAGATCAAAGGATCGGTGTCCACTGGTAGAACGAAGCTTGGGATCGGGCAAAATAACAAAAACAAAGAAAGCATGGATTATGGTGAACAATGTGTATTGTTCTACATGTGAGCTGCGTTCTTTGTTTTATCTCACCATTCATTGTTTGTTCATCCACTCCCAGGCTTTGTTCTGCCTGTTGTGTGTTACCCGGATCAAACCATTACCATCTGTTACTGATGGACTTTTCATGCAGCCATCATCATTACTTTGCTTATATTGCTCCTTATTTCTCAAAATCCATAGTTCCTTACATCGGCCCTTTCTGTCACCTATCGCCTGTTGGCTTTTGGCAGTCTCTCCAAAAACGTTTTTTGTTTTTTTTCCAAAAAAAGAATAATGATTGATATATAATATATAATAAATAATGATCAAAATGTAGTTCAGTAGCATCTCTAGCTGCACTAGTCAATGATTAATCCCCGGGGATCAATTAATACTTTACATTACCTATTTTAGAATTGGAAAAAAGGAAATAGAAAGGAACATAGATTTGGGAATCGGAACAACTTATGACAATGTAGGGATTTCTTCTCCGAGGAAAGATGAGATATCTCAGGCCCTAGCTGTTTATATGAAGGCGAGTTATCCCGCTTAGCAGTGACAAGTCTTTTGTTTTCTAATCCCAAGGAACATAAATACAAAAGACTTGTCTCAGTGCCTCAGTTGTCAACCGAGACGAGTCAGATTTCTCATGTAAACAGTATATAGAACGTTTTCACGTTACGTCACAACGGCCATAAATATTAGAGCGCATGCAGTAAAACCATGAAATTAAAACAATGTCGATACTGATAAAGAGTACTTATTTAGTGACTAATAGTTGCTAGCACTCAACCAGAACATTTATTAAACAAAAGACACAAATGGTCTCTGGTGTATTTGTCTCTGTGATCATGAATCTTCTGGTTTAGTGATAGCAACTATTACACTATAAATAGTGCTGTTTTCCAGTATCAAATTTTTTTTTATTTCATGGTTTTACTGCATGCGCTCTATAATTCAATTCTATTATTATAAAGTCAATACCAAAACATTGATTACTAGAAATAGCATTTTTTGATCTAGTGGAATTCCAGCATATTATTCCGCGCTTTGTAAACAAGTTCTTTATGCAGAACCAGTACTGAATGTATTGTATTTGCACTTTTTAAAAGCTCCTTGACGCGTGAAACGACACAGCAGATTTCCATTCATTTCTATTTTGCAATGTTGGACTAATGAAATCAGTCAATATCCTATAACTTGGCGTGGATGTTAAATTACCGTTAGTGCTCCAATCTTTTAAGATTGTAATAAAAAGAATACTGATTGGCACAATCTTATTAATTATTCTGAAATCCACTGAAAGTTTGTCCGGTAACACATAAAAAATTTTTTTTTTTTTTTTTTTTTTTGCACAAATCGGAAAAAACATTCATATTGTACTTTATTTCGATGATTATAAAGTCAATACCAAAACATTCAGCACTAGTAATGCGCCCTGAAAATGGCAAACAGTATCATGCAAATCTCCAAACCGTGACTGATTGCGTACCCAATATATTTACCCTTTCATATGCTAATAAAGAGCGATTCACGTGAATTGTTTCATCAGGATGACCAAGGAGTGATAAATACCGCATGATTTGGACAAAAATAAGTTCGTGTTTTATGAAAAGCAAGAAAAAATTAAGCCGTGATTCGTGATTGGATTAAATTTGTTCCCTGTGTGATTTGTGATTGGCCTACTTTTTAATTTTTGATATGTGAATTAAGATAAAAACGTTCGTGAGTCGTGTTCAGTGACCCCCCTTGACCACCCTGCTTAATGGATTTGAAGGAGTGGCTTGTTATCCATGGTTTGAGCTGTGATGGGGAGAACTCTTTTACTCTTTTACAGGATCAAGGGGGTGTTGGAGTTTGTTTTGCAGTTGTAGACACCACTACCCGGTAGGGACCCTTAAAATTACGCGAATACAAGGAAAGCATAGTGTACGGAAGTGTACGGATACATAGTTCTCTTTCATAAAATAAAGACAAAAATGTGATCCAAGAGTCACCTGGCAATTCAAAGAAGAAATTGAGAATTACAAAAGATTATCCAAGATCGATCCAGAATTTGCCACGTCAACTCAACATCAACTCCCCCTTGACTTAATGCTAATTTATTCATGTTCAATGGACCTTTCATGTTGATAGCTACTTATATTTGCTCATCACCACCAGTTGAGGTCAGCAACGCACACTAGAAACAGCTTTACTTAGTTCGGAATCCGGTATTGGTAAGTAAGTATCTGATTCAAAAGTTATTAGGACAGTAATTTTCATTTAACTAAATATATTTAATTTTGGTATTCAAATTTAGCTAGACTAGTGCGGTATTTCTACATTTTTTCTTGTATTGTAGTTGAGATTCGCAGTACGTCTACATGATCTGAACAGGGCGCTAATTTGACTGGGCATGTTCACGTTCATTAAAGAGCGAACAATACTGTATGGCTGCTCTGTTCAGTCTATTGGCTAAACAAAAGTTTTTCGTTGCAATAATATGCTTCTACGTAAAATATATTTCTACATGATATATGTTTAGGACTACTTTTATATCAACACGAATTTTCTCGGTCAACCGAGACGAGTCAGATTTCTCATTTCTCTTATTTTTGGTATTGTAGTTGAGATTTGCAGTACGTCTGCATGATCTGTACTACTACGATTTGTAGATTTGTCACTTTTCAACGGTTCGGTTCTTGCTTGGTTATTTGTATGTTTAAAAAAATTATTCAACTTGGGCAATACATCCAGTGAAGCACGCATTCAAGTGTATCTAACACATTCTGCAATCAAGTTAGGCGTTGTCTAATCTTTAGTCAACTGCAACGTGATTAAGAGAAAACATTCAGTATATAGAGCGTTTTCACGTGACGTCACCAAAACAATATATTTTCTATCCTGCAGGAATTGAACTCTATTTTTATGCAAATACTGTGCAGAAAGTTTCTATGCGTGAAATAGTTTGCTAACAAAATTGTGCAAATTTAGTGCAAAATCCTTTGTCTACTGTTGTTTAATTCAGTGCAATTTCTTACAAAGTGTTTCACGGATTTAATGAAAGTGCTCTATTTCTAGTATTAACTATGTTGTAATGTATTCAGAAGGTGCTTATTATCGCATTTCACTAACGTCCCCATGCGCTTTATAATTTCCAAGATTTATAGTAAGTCGGACCGCTACAATGCGGTTTACCATGCGATTCATGTAATACAGTCAATTCAAAAAATTTTGTCGTCGACCAACTCAAGCCTACGCGACTTACCGAAAGGAACTCTGGGTAGCAATCATTGAAGCCGAGTTGACTCCATAATTTTATCTGACTAGTTATGCCTGGTTTGCATCTTTAATCTTTTTTTATGTGCTGTGAATACATGTATATTCAAGCTTTTTTTGGAAAATGTATTACTTTAAAATAAACTCAAATAAACTAATGCGTCTGAACGTCTCTTTGACTGTTGTAATTCAGCCCGTGATTTAAGAATGCAAAATTTTCAATACGCTCAATGAATATACGCTCAATGCACCCTTCGGTTAAATTTGTAACGGCGAGGTGTGGGTTTCACCTGCTGTTTTCTTTTATTTCTCTGCACAACACTGCATTTCAAAAACTCTCTGGCTCACGGGCTTACTACTGGTTTGGTTAGTAAAAAGGCCTGGTCAAAAAAATGCACTTAGGCCCGTGGTTTAAGCAAAACTGTGACATTGTTGAACTTTGAATGGTTTTGAAGGTATTGAGAGGCAGATACTGAGTTTATTAAGAACTTTCAGATCATATTTGCATTTATTAGCATGTTGCAAAGTATTGAATATAGCTTATTATCTAATTTTTGTATCCATTCAATTTCTATCTAGGCTAGCGACAACAAGAGTCCACCATGAAGTTCACATGCATTGTTGTTATTTTTCTTGTATTTGCCTGCACCATTGCCACCGAGGCCAGGAGACTTGAAGATGATCCTGATCAAGAACTGCTTCGTGAGTACGAGTGGCTTCTCAGAAAACGTTTTCAAAAGGTAAGTCTGGGCTTCCTGTGAAATACAAATAGGGGCCCGTTTATATGGAGGCGAGTTGTCCCGGCTAACCGAGACAAGTCTCTTGTTTTATAATCCCGAGGGAGACAAAAGCAAAAAAACTTGCCCCTGCTAGCCTAGACAGCTTGACTCCATATAAACGGGCCCTAAGAAAAAGCCACTCCCTACTTCTTTAAATTTTCAATCTCTTTGGAGATTAGTAGAAACAATTGGCACTAATTACATTACAAAAGAAAGTGGGCAAAACATTCATGCAAATCGCCTATTGAAAGGTTCTGGCTAAAGTATACTGTAACTAAAAGGTTAGGTCTATGTTTAGGAGTTTTGTCTTTATATAAGGGTTGGGCTCAGGGATGAGATACATTTGAGCTTAGGCTTTGGTTTATTGTAAACTTTTAATTATTCAGGGTTAGGCTTAAGGATATTAGGATAAGGTGTAACGCGAAAAATCATTTAAGTATACTTCAACAGTCAACGATAAAGCCGAGCACCTTTGCAGGACTTAACAAGATGAAACATTTGTAATTGATTCTCTGATTGTTGTCAGGTTGAAAAACGAAGCTGCATTGCAGTTGGTGGATCTGGATGTGACGGTAACAATGCTAAATGTTGCAGAAAGGGAAATCCATACACCGGAACCATGAGGAAATGTGTCAACGTTGGTAGTTTCATGGAACCGTAAGTCTTTCCATTCTTACATATCAACCTTTATGATAATAATTTGTCAGTCTAAATGTTCAGCTTCAAAGAATACAGTTCTATATATCATGATATTATATTTTAAAATTAATTGATCTCTTGTAAGTCCAATTGAAGTGGTCTCTTTATACTGCAACTTTCATTGAGAAGCGAACTCAGCGACTCAATCGCCCATTTTATTTTTGCGACTTCGGCTTCTGTGAATCAAACTTCCGGAAAAAAATTAGATGAATTCATAGTCTGATTTCATTTTAGACGGTTAAGTAATATTTCAAACATGCGAGAGAGTTCTTCCTCCGATTTCCAAACACCGAAAAGTGAGTTGAAAAAACGAGGAGCAGCTGAGTTTTATTAACTGAATTTGAGGTGTTTGGAAATCGGAGGAAGAACTCTCTCAAGTGTTTGATATTACTTCTCAAACTCATGAATATTTATTGGAGAAAATCAAAGAAATTGTTCACGAAATTTAATGCAAATTAAGAACACATTTCCAAACCACCGTCACAGTAGTGATTTGCTTTGTTTTCTCCTCATTAAATATTCATGAGTATGAGAAGTACATTTGAAGCGAATTGTTTTCACATGTTTGGACACGTATGAATGAGAACCGTTGTAAACGCACGAATAGAAAAGCAAATAAAGTAAAAACGCCTCTAGATAAAAGAAATGATTAGTTTATTTAGCTTACTAGTGCTCATTAGGCGGTCAGCTTTGTTAATTCGGGTCTTCGTGAAAGTGTTCGAAGGTTTGATTATACACTTCAGTTGATTGACAGAAGCAAAGTCGCTAAACCGAGTCGGCGATTGGGCCATTGAATTCATGTGTCAATGAAAGTTGAAGTATATTCTTTTCTTTTTCAGTAACTACACATGCAAGGAATGAGGCCTGAGGAAAAATAAATGCAAGAAACACCAGTCATTGTATTTACAACCCACCATTAATATTTAAATACATCACAATTTATTGTGGATTAATTAATGTTGATACGATGCAGTAGAAATGTTTAGTTGCAAAACAGCTTGTGAACGTAATTTTAAATAAAGTTTAATCATTCATTTGTTCATTGACTCACTCACTAACTGTACGTATGTCTTTATAAATAGTTTGAAGAATAAAATATGTTAATTTCAGCTGATTGCACATTTTTATTAAGTTCACCTGCTACTAAGATTTAAAATTAATCAGTTTAAAATTCGTTGTCGAACTTCATATGAATCAGAAAATATCCATATATTATCTTTATTTCCCACTTGTTCTTATCATATGGCTTTCATAGAAAAAGACCATTAAATGGATTTAAAAACCGTTTATAACACCAAAGGATAATGTTAGCTTCTTTGAAAACTGTTTGATGGTTTTCATTTAATCAGCAGTCTGCGTTTCCATCTTTTTTTGTTACATCCATTAACCACAAATTTACTGTTTCCATAGCTACAAACAACGAACTGCACATCAGGGCCTGGTTGTACTAAGCCTGGATAGCGCTATCCGGCGGATAAATCCTTATCCAGTGAACAAGTCGATGCTGTTATCCAATAAATATATCCACAGGATAAGATTTATCCGTTGGATAGCGCAACCCAGGCTTCGTACAACCGGGCTCTGTATACTCACATAAACTACAGTTTTGCCTCAATCACTGCATTTCTCTCTAAGCCCTCGTCATGTTCTTTAACGGAAGCTTGACGTCATCTACAAGGGGTCTATTTTTCTTAAGTATGGTACTCTGCTATATCATATAACGACGACGAAAATAATTTGTTTTTCATGATTGTTCATAATATTTGAAACGGTTAGAATATAATACTGAAAATCCAAGTTTAGTATAAGCTCTTGTCAGTAACTGCTTTCAGACATTTTTTAAACCAGGAAAGCACAGCTCAATTTTTAAGTTTATTATCGCCTAATTGTTAGTGCTAAATGTAAGAAAATAAAAAGTAGACAGCCTTTCTAAAAATAAAAAAAAAAGAATGCTATGAGCTTAAATTAATAAAACTTTTTTACATAAATTAAGAAAAAAAGAAATATAAAGAAAAAAAATCAAATGCTAGAAAAAAACTTGACGCAAAGTATGAATTCTCATCGTCAGTCAAAGTAAGTGCCCCACTTGTGGAGAAGATTATCTCCCAGTCTCACGAGTTGCCAGATGAAATTGAAGTGAAAACAGCAAAGCAGAAATGTCACGCTGAGAAAGAAAAAGCATCCAAAGATGCGTTTGAAAGCCTGAAGGAAAGTCTACCAAAGATTACAGCCAGATCCTTRGACTTAGCCGCAGAGAAAGGAGCATCAACCTGGTTAACTGTAATTCCTCTTAAGGAAATGGGATTCGACTTGAACAAGAGAGAATTTAGAGACGCTTTACGTCTCCGTTATAATTGGTCTTTCAGAGACATTTCATCAAAGTGTGTATGTGGTGAAGATTTCTCGGTCGATCACGCAATGATATGTAAACGTGGTGGATTCGTAATTCAACGTCACAACGAATTACGCAATCTGGAGGCTGAGCTTCTTAGCACAGTATGCAACGACGTAGAGATTGAGCCCTTGTTACAATCAATCTCAGATGAGAAACTAAGC